TTTTCCTTTCTACGTTTTCCTTTTCGCTGTTTTTGTTTTCTACATTTTCCTTTTCGAAATTTTTTCTACGTTTCTTTCTACGTTTTCCTATTCGACGTTTTTCTTTTCTGTCTTTTCCGTCAATCCGCTCTAAATACATAATAAGTAGAAGAAGAATATGTACGACGAATAAAATTTTAAGAAATTGCTTATCCTTGGTTAGAAATTTCAACACAGTGTTTTGTAATATTAATATCATTACGAATTTTTACAACAGCTTGATGGTTCAACGAAAAAGCTTTTCAGAAATTTCTAAAACCTCTTGAAAATATTCCAAAGCTTTATCATAATTTCTTTTTTTAAAATAACGTTCACCAAAATTCTTTAATGACTCCGTTGTATCATGATGATTGATCCCTGATGTATTGTTCCATATTTGAAAGGCTGTTGTGTAACATTCTAGCTTTATTCAAACATTAAATCAATAAAATATAGTACTTTGTGTGCTGTAAGCAACGATTATTCTCAAGGTTTGCTGGAAAAAAATTTTGCGTGACGGTTTAGTTCCAACCACGTCGAGTCTAACAGCGCTCAGGTTGGATTTGAGTACGAAAAGTAGTCACAGAATTAGGCATAGGCATGGATCGATGACGGTTAACCATCACCGGTCATTGCCATCACTTAAACCGATCAGATTTTCCAAATTTCTCTTTCTTCACTAGTTATAAGCATTTTATCCGAATGCCAACGAAATGACTCATTGTTTTTGTTTAATTAAGGTGGCTTTGAGTGAATATTTTCACTTCAATTTTTTACTATAACTCTCTATTGATAATGCTAACTCCTGACTATGATTTCTTTTCACGTAATAAGAAGCGAAGAAAGTCTCTCAGAAACATAACGTTATAATTCTTATAGCAGATTTTTCGGTTTAAGTGACGGCAATGATCGGTAAAATACGGTGAACAGCTGAAACGGGTTCATGTTTGATTAGGGTCTATAGCGTAACTGTAAAATCTAATATGTTTCTAATCAGTAGGCAAAAATGGAAAACGTTGTAATTCAATTTTTTCACAATTTAAAAAAGCATCCTCACGTAAATTTTCAATCGGTTTCTTCTTTTGTTTGCCATCGGGCTCTACTGAGCCGTTGTTATTTTCACAAAAGATGAACTGTTGCAGTTCCTGTGCTTCGAGTTCATATACTTTCTCTCGTTCCTCAGCGTATGCCATTTTTGTTTCTGAAAGAAATAAACCGCTAACATAATGAATAATTAAGAGGTGTTTCGCGGCAGTTATCGAGCATTTATAACATCAACGTAAAAAACCTTGATAAAAACTTGAATGATTTCTTAAGTTTTTGTTCAGTTCTTTCAAGGTCTTATGCACATTTATCGGTATCCGACAAGACTTTGAGATCACCTTACAGTTCCAGATTGTCAACAATTTTTGTTACAGAATTTACCCTGAACAACTTGATCAAGGTTTGTAACTGATGATTCTGATAATTTAATTAATTAATCAGAATCGTGACAGATTTTCGATAACTGCATAAAACCTTGGTAAACCATTTAATAGTCTTTTGCGTATGTGAGGTATTATTTTCAATTATCGTCTTTTTTATCCGCTCTGCTCCACAGCACCAGCTTTGCTGTACGAATGGTACTGCAAAGGACACTGCCGGTTTATTTTTCTTAACCGAATAATCGTTTGACCTAACTAATATCGCATATATGAAGCCACTACGAAGTATTTGTTTTTATTTCAGAATAGGAAATTGTCCATATTTAATGTGTTTGCGATGTCAACAACAACAATGTGAAAAGCAGTCAAAAAAAATGAAAAAAGTGAAAGTCCCTCGGATGAACAGCAACGCAATAAATAAATCGTTGAAACTTTAAAGTCGAAAAGTTTGGGTTTGCAAATAACTTTGGAGGCTTTACCCAATGAGATCATAAAAAGACGTTTTGATTTTTGACCATGGTACAGGTATTTGGAATAATGTTTCATACCCCGTCGAACCATCTCATTAAATTTACTGTCCCATGTCTTGTAGAAAGCGAAAATCTACACACATTCTTTAAAGATTCTGCTTCTTGAAAATTCGTCAATAATCAATATCTTGATGAACAATTTTGAGGCACAGCAAGTTCAGATACATCAACTAATCTTGATCAATATTTACTACAGTTTCGATTCCGTAATACAGTAGAGTCGCATGCTCTATATCCCGATCGGGATACAGCAGAAATCTCTTCCGTCGCAAAAATGTTAAATATACATACACTTTTGTTTGAAAAAAGGTCACTGACGGGAAAAAAAGAGTTAACCATGAGGAAAAAAGAATTTAGTGTAGTTTTTCCTCATTTTTCTAATGATGATGTCAAAATTTTCAGCGAACATCATCATTTTTCGCTAATAGATTTTATTCAAGAATATCGAATTGATATCTCGATCGGGATATAGAACATGGACTCTACTGTAGTAGATGACTTGTTCTTCAATGCTATTGGTCTACTAGGTAGATTAATGAATAAAATTACGAAATGACTATTGCCACGCCCCAGCGTGTCAACAAGAAGCTATTGACACTCCCTTGACGTGTCTATCAAGACATAATGCCTCGTTTCTGACGCTAATCCCAACTAGTACATACGCGCAGAAGTCAAAAGTTGAATTCAACTATTAATAGTTGAGAAAATATTTCAGTTATTGAACTATTCAACTCTTCACTTCTGAAAATGAATAAAATAGAAACTATCCGATTTTTCAGATATTCAGTTGAAAAAAACGTTCCATACAGTTTTGCCTTGGAGGTGGTAAATTTTTCACTGTAACACGAATGGGGCAGGAGGTCGGGGCGGGGGAGGAGGGGAGAGATGGTGAGAGTGAATGCGGAACTGAATTAACATTTGAATAATTGAATAGTTGAATTGAACTTTTGACTTCTACACTGCTCAACTAACCCCCCTCCCCCCATAATAGAAGACCATCCCGTATTAGAAGACCACTGCCGATTATATGACCTGAAAGTCAAATAGAAGACCAGTGGTCTTCTATTATGTCCGTGAAAAAAATCCGAAAATGCCCTATACCTAGGGGAATTTTCAAAAAAAATTCGCCAAAAAGTACTTGTAATAGGGGACGTTTAAGTGAATTTTATAGAATAAACAGTCCATTTATCTTTGATTTCCATCAGAGAATGATATTGTTTGAGATTGAAATTTTGCAAGTGTGTTTTCTTTACATTCACATGTTTAATGTTTGTCTTTCTTGGACTATCGGATCAAATATCATTGAATCTGAAACTGAATTTCGCTTATTCTACATTCTTCTCATTTAATAAATAACTTTTGATCAATGTTCTAAAATTTTCTTTAAGATTGAGTTCATAACACATTGATTTGATCCAATTTCTCCTTTTGATAATTCTACTAATGATATTATCGTAGTTTGAGTAATTTGGTGAACTAATCAAATGAAAGAGAAAAGACAGGAAAAAACAAAATGTTCAACAAACTGTTATAAAATTGTGAATACTTTTCTATCAACCAAGTCAAATAGTATTTTGGATTGGTCCAAATTCACGATTCGACGAATTTCGTGTACAAAAATGAATGAGACTTCAGATTGAAATTGGTATCAAGATCAATTTTGAAAATAATTTCCAAAGCTGAGAGATTCAAATACTGTTCCCAATGTTTTGTGCACTATCGTTTACTAAAATGTCCAACAAACATTCCTTGAATAATTTTTAAACAAAACCTAGATCAAAGAAAGAGTTAAAAGAATAAAACCTTTTAGTTATGAGAATGTTTGACTTCTTCAAAAAAATGTGTCGTCTTCTTCATTGACGATAGTTTCTTTTCTTTTGTTCCATTTATTCTTAATAAAAAAACAGAAATGATAATTTTGTAGATATATCTACAAAATAGAATGTTGAGAGCACATGTTTATAAACATGTGCTCTCGACTGTCTGGCAGATTTTCGATCTGAAATTATTGCAGAATAGATCAATAACTGGTGAAGAAAATATCAATCGAAAGAAAAAGATGTGGTTGATCTTTTTTGAAATTTTCATTTCAATGATTACATCTGTATTCCTCTCAACCTCTATAAAATTTCATTCTAATCAGATAGGCAAAGTTATAGACAAAATATCAATATCGAAAATAAATGAATTGTAAAACTAGAGTAACATTGTATCCACTGAATTCGAATATACAAATATAAACAGAATCCACTTCTCCAATTTCATTTCCAATTGTTAAGTCAAATATCATGTTCTGGAAATAAACTTCGAATAAGCAATGTCCTATTGCTGAGGAAGACTGCAAATTTCAACTATTGTTATATCGTTTATTGTTTTCATCTCTCAACATTCTTTGCCTTTTTTGGTTGGGACTTTAATTCGAATAAGAGGTATGTTTAGATTTCCGAAAAAAGCCAATTTCGGAAACTACGATAATTTCCTATTCACCATACAGCTTCATGGATGAACCAAATACAGAAATTTACCAGAAATTACCTAGATTCACTAATACCTCAAAACAAAATTTCCTAGAAATTTCCTACCTTCGAAAAGAAGAGAATTTTGGGTCCTACCATCGAAATAAGAAATTTGGGTAGTTTTTTAGGAAATTTTCGTAATTGCTGGGAAATTACTGAAATTTCTATTATTTCCTGGATCGAAATATCCATCACAATAGGGCCCTATCTTCGAAACTAATAGAAATTTCCCTAAATTTGAGGAAATTTTGGTAATTACTGCGAAATTACTGAAATTTCAATTATTTCTTAGATA